ACTGCAGTTTTCAAAGCATTTGTCTCCTCACTGGAAGTAGAGAGACGACGGCAGGGACCTGGGAGCCAGCCCGGATGCCGCCAAAAGTGATCAGGAGCTGTGCCCAGGGCAGGAAGGGCTGATCCACACCCAGGGGCCCGCAGGCACGCAAGGGGACGGCTTTGGCTTGGCATGAAGAGGCAGGAGCAGGGCTGGGTGGGGCCTGGAACCCGCCCCACCCAGGCATTTCCCGCCACAGCTCTGTTCTGCTCCTTCCTGCAACACTCCTTGCCGCTTTGGGTTACGTCAACCCCAAGGCTGATTCTGCAGCTTTTTGAAGAGGCAGCTACCCAGGCCCAGGCTGTAACCTCTAATCTGCCAGCACAGCTGTCCTCAGCCCGGGCACCCAGCTGAGATAAGCCTCCTGCTGGGTCTCCTCATGCAATCCAGCAGCTGTGAGGGGCGGGGCTGTGAGGGGCGGGTGGGGCTGTTAGGGGCAGTGGGGCTGGGCGCCCTGGGGCAGGCTGCCAGCACCATATTGGCCCCATTCACTGAATGAGCCCGGCTTTGCTTTGCGCTGGCTCCACCACCAAGTCTTTCATTTAAGCCTTACAACGTCCTATGGGACGTTACAGAAGAGGGAGTTGAAGGGCCTTGATGGGGCCAGGATGTGGCAAATGGGGTCCCCTGGGTGTGTCTAGCCCCAACGGCCATGCAAGGCCCTGCGCTCCATGTGCCCGCTCAAATGAATCTGTTTTTTTTTTTTTTAAAGATCTATTTATTCATGCATACAAGAACCAGAGTATAAGCCAGATGCGCGGGAGGGTGAAAGGATTCACCAGAGACAGAGCGGGGAACAGGCAGGCGGATCCAGTGACATGCACTATTGAGGGGAGCAGCGGGGAGACAGGAGAGGTCTGCTGCGCAGTGTGGGACCCTTGCTGGCCAGCTGGGATCGAACCCACGCTGCAAAGGATGCAGTCAGCTTCACAGCCCTGCGCTCAACCGCCTGTGCCACCAGGGGAGGCCCCTCAAATGAATGTTTCTTACGAAGTGTTTCCAAAATGTTTTCACCCAACAGAGTTACAGCTTAGGCAGCAGATAGCAGTCTTGATTTGTGCCAAACTCTACATTTTTATTATCTATTAAAATCTATCTATTCTTATTACCTATTAAAATACTCATATACAAGTTCACACTGGACATGCATATCAAGACCACGATGGTTATTATCTAAAAACTGAAATGACAAGGTGGGATGTGGCGTACCCGAGCCCTGTGCGTGGCGTGTTAAAGTGGTGCAGCCGCCGTGGAAAGCAGCAGGGCAGCTCCTCAGAAGGTCAAGGCCCATGTTGCTCTCTGAATTTTAGATATTTCCGTGACAAGAAGAAAAAAGGAAAAGGCACATGCCGCATTTTCTGATCACCATGCAATAAAACCAGAGTGGACATTAAAAACTGTCCAATATTGTGCCTCCCTGGTGGTGCAAGGGTTAAGTGTCAGCACTATGAAGCTATCACCAGCCACTGCAGCCTGAGTTCGATCCCCAGCCAGGGAGCTACCCACATGGTGCACAGACCTCTCCTGTCTCCCCGCTGCTCCCCTTAGCAGTGCATTTCAGTGGATCTGCCTGTTCTGCTCCCCACTCTGTCTCTGGTGAATCCTTTAAACTCCCCACACCTCTGGCCTGCACCCCAGTTCTTGTATGCATAAATAAATAAATTCCTAAAAAAAAAAAAAGCTGTCCAATATTGAAACAAACTACAGGGACAGTGAGCATATTTTGACATTCTACATTCTCCAGATGAAGGTGGAAATCAAAAACAAAAATTCAGACTACTCAGAAGAAAAGACAAAGGTGAGATCACCACCTAGGATCACCTGTGGGACTTGGCCAAGCGTGCTCGACAGCAGCTGTCGGGCAGTATTGGAATGGTGGGGACAGCAGGATCTTGCATCATTGTGCCCTCTCTCCTCTGCATCTTCTCACTCGGGGCTGTGCTCATTTTCTTTCTTTTTTTTTTTTAAAGATTTATTTATTTATTTATTTATTTATTTATTTATTTATTTATTTATTTATACAAGCACCGGGTACAGTCAGAAGCGCGGGAGGGTGAGAGAATTCACCAGAGCCGGCGCCGCAGAGGCCGCGGGCAGCTTCGCAACCCAGCGCTCAACCGCTGCGCCACTGGGGAGGCCCCTGTGTTCATTTTCTTTTGAAGCTTTTAATTAAACTTTTGTAATCATCAACATCAAAGATTGTCAATTATAATTATGAATGCAAAATCTAAAGAATTCTATTGTTTCTACAGAGCACTGGAAGGATAAACAGATTGGTTTTGATGTGAACAGCAGTTCAGGAAAGAGACAACAGAGTGTCAAATCTCGTATCCCCTGTAGGATTTCAGGTGAGTTACCTACCCCCTCGCCTCACTTTCTTCATGTCTCGGCTGGGGATAGTGGTTACCTTCCTCCCAGGTTGTTCTATGTTGCAAAGCAACTCCCCCCTGCACAGGTGTCCTAGAGAAATGCTTTCTTCACACAAGAGCGGTACCTGAGCGTTCATAGCACCTTTATTAGTCACAGCCCAAACCTGGGAAGAATCCATGGTAGAGCTAGTGAAATCTCCAAGTAAGAGTCAGCATTTTCTTAATCATATTGCCCATTGCCAATTTCCTGATTTTGACAGTGTAGTAGGGTTTGTAAACTATTAAGGGAACCAGAGTGAAATATATGCAGGAACTCTCTACTAATTTTGCAACCTCATGTGCCTGACATGATTTCAAAACAAAAAGTTCTAATTTTATTTATTTTTTTAAAGATTTATTTGTTTATGCATACAAGAGCTGGGGTGCAGGGCAGAGGTGTGGGGGTGAGAGAATTCACCAGAGACAGAGTGGGGAGCAGAACAGGCAGACTGACTGAAGTACACTGCTGAGGGGAGCAGTGGGTGAGTCAGGAGAGGTCTGCTGCGCCATGTGGGTAGCTCCCTGGCGAGGGATTGTACTTGTGTAGCAGTGGCTGCGGATAGCTTCATAGGTTGCGCCTTAACCCCTTATGCCACCAGGGAGGCCCAAAAAGTTCTAATTTTAAAAACAAGAAGAGACATAAATGATAAACCAGGAAAATATAATTACAATAGGCAGCACTCTGTCTGCCCACCTGTGACTATGCAGGTGCTTCTTTTCATCCACTCTTTCCTTCTGCAGGGCAGCAGGCTTCCTGCCTGCCCGTGACCTGTACCATGCTGGGACTTCTCTTCCTTGACCTCCCTCAGTGAAGGCCGCGCTCCTCGATGCCGCCCACCTGCAACCATGCAGGCCTCTCTTAGCAAACTTGTTCCTTCGGGGCAGCTCTAACTGCTCACCTGTGTCTATGCAAGTGTCCTTTATTCTTCTGTCCCTTTTCCTAATAAACCTGTTCTTTAAATATAAAAAAAGAAGAAAATATAATTACAACGTCTGTAAGAGAAAAGGCGTCATCACCCATCGAGCTTCCTGTGAATCAAAATGAATCAAAATGAAACAGTAAGTGGAGAGAAAGCAGTAAATTATTCAACCTCTACTGATAATCAAACAAATCTAGATTAAGACAAGGAAATATTGATTTCCATCCATAAAAGACTGCTGGCCAGGATATATAGATAGGGAACTCCCACACACTGCTAGCTAGCCAAGTTTTAAATGTTTACAGCATTTGACCCAGTAATTCTACTAATAAGGACATGCAAAGATGTACTTTGACGCACTGTTTATAGCAGTGAAAAAATTGGAGCTGCCCCATTGGTAGCAAGGGATTGGTGAGCCAGATTATAACAGTAACTAACAGCAATCTTGGGGCCTCCCTGGTGGTGCAAGGGGTTAAGCACAGCACTGTGAAGCTGTCCACAGTTTGATTCCCCGGCCCCTCCAGGGAGCTACTCACATGGCGCAGCAGACCCCTCCTGACTCGCCCGCTGCTCCCCTCAGCAGTGTACTTTAGTCCATCTGCCTGTTCTGCTCCCCACTCTGTCTCTGGTGAATCCTCTCACCCCCCACACCTCTGGCCTGTACCCCAGCTCTTGTATGCATAAATAAATAGATAAATCTTTAAAAAAAATATGTACCTATCAATAATTATAATAATAATAATAATAATGCTTCAGAGGTTCCAGCACTTTCCCAAATGCTTCTTAGGTATTAACCCATTTAATTCCCACCACAATCCTACAAAGTCGGTTCTGGGTTTGTGCCCATTTACAACTGAAGCAGCCTTGGGCCCTGGTCCCCTGATCCCAGCCCCGCCAAGGGGTGCTGGTCAGGGCAGGGCCTCTCCCGCTGGGCTGGGTCCTTTCTCTCCAGGACAAATCAGTGGGCTCTTCCCTGAGGAGCACCCTCCCCCGGGGGGTTTGAGATCACCGAAGAAAGTAAAACTATTTCAAAAGAAAACAACAATCTGGATTACAAATACCATCAAAAACTGGAGCTTAGAGGAGACAGACCGCGACTTTATAGAGGACACAGACCGTGCCGAGTCCATGGAATTTGGAAGCTAAAAAACATGCTTTAAAAATGTTAACATTTGCAAGTTAGTGGAAATTACAGCCTCTGCAAATACATTTCTGAAAACGTTTAAGGGTCAGTTTTAAGATGGGCAAAGGGCTGTTGAACATCAGTTTAGGGGCTACCTGAGCAATAGGAGAGCCAGGGGCCCAGCCCGCACCCCTCTGGCTGCAGCCCTGGTCCTGCCCATCCCAGACTTGGTGCCTGTCCAGGTGAGGCTGGAGCTGGCCAAGTCCCTCTGCGCAGAAAATTCTTCATTGAGATCCAAGCTTCAGGTGTGTCCATCCTCCCGGAAGAATCAGGAACGTGGGCTGGCACCCGCGTTGTTGTGGGTGACACCCAAGTCAAAAACCCCATCTGCCTGTCCTGGGGGCTCCCTGTGGAACTATTTCCTGGCCACTTCTGGGTGAGATACACAGAAGCTAGTAGCAGATTTTCCTCAATTAATGATGGGGTTCTTTCCTGACAAGCCCACGGGAAATGGAAGCCAGCGTGTTGAAACTGGGGAAGCCTCTGCAGGGCAGCACAGGCCGTGGTTTTGCTTTCACACCATCGGGCAGTGGAAAACGTAAGCAGAACCATCGTAAGTGGGGTCCGGTTGCACAAAGTTTTCACTTAAGTGGGTGGAAGCAAAGCGGGGGTCTGTGGGAGATGTAGGGTCTGCTGCCCTCCTGATGGCTCTGTCTCTGTCTGAATCAGGCAATAATTAATTTACTGTCAATACGAAAACTGTATTGTAGTATTCTCAAGTTTTTGTTGTTGTTTTAAACAAAAGCTGTTACCCTTGGAATAATGCAGAGGTGAATTTCAAGGAAGTCATGCTTATTAAATCGGACAAGGCGGGCCTTGGGAACTCAGCTCCTCCCGCACTCCTGTGCTCTTTGGGCCACGGCTGTGCTTGAACCCGGCCCAATGCAAGGCCATGTTTGCCCCATGTTGGCAAGGGCCGTCTCTGTGGGTTCTCTGAGGTGCTTCCCTGCACACTTGGGATCCTCAGCTCGGGTCCCCACCCACTACCCCAGAGGCTTCTCCTTTGTTGCTGGCAAGAATCAGGGTGTAGGTCAGAGGTTCAGGAGTGAAAGAATTCACCAGACACAGTGGACAACAGAAAAGGTGTATTTATTGAAATACAGGGGGCACCGAGAGAGGGTCTCGAGACTCCTCTTTATCCCCAGGATCAGTGATTGGCTAGAGCCTCTGGCGTTGGCATGTCCTGACTCGTGACCTGGATTATTGGTTTAATGGCCTGGTTTCTCCCCGGGCAGCCCCATCACTCCTCTATCCAGTCAAGCCGCCCAACTTGCCTGCTGGGCAAGGAGTGGAGCTTCGTCGTTTCTAACCTGCGTAATGATGCCACGGCAGCCTTCCTTCCGCTCTCCTTGACGTGGCCAGTCTGGGCCCACCTCGCTACACCGGGCCCACCTGACCACACAGTAACCGAGGCGGCTCCCACAGCCCAGTGCGCGCCACAGAGCACGGAGGAGGCTCCCACACTGCGGCCCGGGGCGTGGAGAAGGCATCTCGGTGCCGCCCTGACCAGGCACCTCCTCGGGCAGCCGGCTTGCAGGGAGGAGGCGGGCATGAGACCAGCTTCACACACAGCAGCCGCGGGGGACGGAAGCGTCCACTGCAGCAGGAATGGGGCACCGCTGAGGCGCGCGGCCTGACCCCTCTTCCTAATGAGTTAAGTTCCCACGCCGGCTGTGTGGGGCGGGAGGCCTTTCTGCCTGTGCGGAGCGTCCAGCAGGCCTGCGCTGGCGAGAGAGCCGGAACAGCGACGCTGGGGCCCGGGTCAACCAGAAAGCTGGACATGAACTGCAGCAGGAGAGTGAGAAAAACACGAGTGGGCTAGACTGGCCGCGGGGGCGGGGGGCGGCTGGGCTTTGCTCCGGGCTTGAAATATCCGGCCCATTTAACCTGACAAAAACCTGTGAGGGTGACATGGTCCTCACTGCTTTCTCAGGAAAGCAACAGGCTCGGAAATGCCAACGACCTGCCCAGGCCACCCCATAAAGGAGAATCACGCTGGAGTCCAGACCCGACCCGGCATGGTGTCTTGTGCCCGCTCCCCTGGCGCCCGCGCCCCTGGCACCCACTCCCGCTCTTGATCTCGCTTCCAGGAAGTGAGTCATCGAGTACATGAAGGATCCATTTACCTGGTTTTTGTTTCTTCTCCTCCTAAAGTTATTATTTAGCTAAAACGTGGGGGTGGTAATCCCAGGCCCGGGGGTTTTCTCTCTCTGCTCAGGCTGACTTTGCCCTTCCCTGCTCCTCCCAGCCCGCCTGGCTCACTGATGATAGGATTTGAATCCTGCTTGCGAAGTTGCTCCCTGCCTACCAGATCAGAGTATCAGTCAAGCCGACGGCCCTCCCACCACACACTCCTTGTCCAGGGAAGGAAGCGAGTAAAAAATTATCCCCTGGCCTGAAAAATCATGACCTTACATTCTTATTTATTTTTCTCTTTTAAGCCAACCCACGGGAAATCTTCCTCAGACACAGCTTTGGGGGATATGGCGGGCCTGACCTGAAAGCAGGAAGACTAGAGCTGGCTGCCAGGAAAGGCCCTGGGAGGAGGGGGTGCTAGGGTAAGCTAAGGGGGAGGGGAGAGCTCAAGGGGGAGGTGTGTGGAGAGTGAGGCCCCCCACCCCCACTGCTGGCAGGTTTTAGGGGTGGGGTGGGAGTGGGGGTGGTGCCTGTGCTGTGGTTCATGGGCAGAGGGAGGCTGAACCAGTCCCACCCTCCACCCACCTGGTCTGTGCAGTTCTACCCTGGACAGGGAGGTGCTCCATCTTCCACTCTCCTGGGGGTTCTGGGGGGATGCATGTTTCCCAGCAGAGGACTCCTGAAGGTTTAAAAGGGGAGTGTCCACTTCAGAAAGAAGAGGGAGGTGCCTGGAGTCACACCTGGTGTAGCCCCCAGTTTTGAGGGTTGACCTTGCTTCCTAGAGGTTGGAAACAGAAGTCCAAGGAGGGCAGGGGAGAGGCTGCAGGAAGGAACTCTCCACGGACTGCGCTACGTTGCCAGTGGCTAGGACTCCTGCTTTCAGAGGAAGGACCAACGTCCACCCCATGCCCCAGCATGAGTGGCTCAGGAAACACTGTCAAGTGGAATATGTGAAACACGAAAGGATTCAAGACTCAGCTCACAGGAGGTGCCAGAGCCCGGAAGTTCAGAGGCAGGAAGCAGATGGGCGGCTCTCTGCTGGGGGGGGTGGGGGGGCTAACATTGACCAGTGTGGTGGGTTTCAGCAGGGGTGATGCGAGCTCCCCTGAGGTGGATGGTGCAGATGGCTGCACACCATGTGAGTGGACTTAATGCCTCGGAAGGGTTCAAATCGTCAACTTTAGCTTATGTCTATTTTACCACAAAAAAAGAAATGAAATCTAATAGTCTTTCAATTTCGCTCCCAGCTCACTATAAACACGGGGTAGAAAAAGGAGTCAAATGACACGAGGGGGGCACAACCAGGCAAGTGCAGAATGGGGAAGTTGTGCAACATGTAGAAGTGGGACGTTCTACAAAGAAACTGGCTTGAACTTTTAAAACGTCAACCTGGGGGGTGTCCCTGGTGGCGCAAGGGGTTAAGCACCGGCCCATGAAGCAATCCGTACTATGAAGCTGTCCGCAGCCTCTGCAGCACGATTTCGATCCCCAGCCAGGGAGCTACCCACAGGGCGCAGCAGACCTCTCCTGTCTCCCCGCTGCTCCCCTCAGCAGTGCATTTCAGTGGATCCACCTGTTCTGCTCCCCACTCTGCCTCTGGTGGATCCTCTCACCCCCTGCACCTCTGGCCTGCCCCCCACTTCTTGTATGCATAAATAAATAAATCTTAAAAAAAAATTTGTAATGACATATACCAATGATATATGTTTTTAAAAAAAGTCACCCTGGGATGTGTGGGGAAGCGGGGTCGGAGCTCATGAAGAGGTAACCAAGGCCACCATCTTAGGTCAAAAAGCCCCGCCTGGAGCAGAGACGGGCACTGCGGGAGACACGCGTGAGTCCCCTGGGAGCCCGTGACCGCGCTCCCCTGAGCTGCCCGGGCCTTCCCTTCGGGGTGAACGCGGCCGCTGGTTGGGAGGGGCTGATCTTCGGGGCTACTGAAGGGGCTTAGGCCGCGGGCGCGGGCAGCCCGCTTTCCAGAGAAACCAGGAGCCTCGGCCCCCCTGGAGCAGGCAAGGCAAACACAGGGAGCGGAGACCCACAGGCGGCCGGCCCCGCGGAGTTCTTTCCTTTTCTGTGTGTCGGAAACACTCGGGGAAACCGGGCGGCTCGGGGGGTGTGGCCTCGGGGGAGCCCCGGGCCCCGCCAGCCCCTCCGCAGGGCGGGCGCCCGAGCACGGCCCTGGGCCGGGCCCGCCGTCCCGCCGCCGGCCTCCGCGGGCGCCCCTGGGCGGCCCCGGCGCGGGTCTGGGGGCCGATCCGCCCCGCTTCCGGCGCCGGGGGCCGCGGGGGCTCCAGCGCGGGCGCGGGGGCGGCGGCCCCCCTCGGTGACCGGCGGCCCGGCCGGGGGCGGCGGGGGTGCCGGGGCCGCAGCCCGTCCCGGCGGCCGCCCCGGAGAGCCGGGCAGCCGTTTGCCGCCGCCTTGCGCGGCCCGGGCGGGGGGGGGGTGTTCCCGCGGCGGCGGGGCGCTGCGGGGCGCCCGGTGACCCGCGGAGGTGCTGCTCCGGCGGCCGCGGAGCGCGCGACTCCCAGGGAAGCCGCCGGGGGCCGCGCAGGGGGCGCGGGGGGGCGGGGGCCGGGGGGCGGGGCCGGCTCCGCCGACCGCGAACCGTCACCCCGCCCGCCCCGCGGCGCGCGGCCGGGTTTGTCCGCCCTGCTGCGGGGCTGCGCCGAGCCCGGGCCGAGAACCAGCGCTTCTCCAGAGGCGGCCGCCCGCTCGCGACCCGGCGCCCCGCCCGCAGCCGCCCGCGCCTGAGGGGAAACGCCAAGCAAAAGCGGACTGTTCCCCAAAGCACGTCCCGTCCGCACCCCAAGCTTCCCAGCCTCCCCTCGGGCTATAGCCCCGAAGTATCAAGTGAACGCCCAGGCCTGCGGCCATTTTCTGAGCTTTTTCTCAGGGATTCCGGCCCAAGTTTACAATTTTTTTTTTTTTTAAAAAAGATGTATTTTAGGGCCTCCCTGGTGGCGCAGCGGTTGAGCGCTGGGTTGCGAAGCTGCCCGCAGCCTCTGCAGCGCTGGTTCGATCCCCGGCTGCTCCCGGCCACCAGAGGAGGGTCCCACATGGCGCGCAGACCCCTCCTGCCGCCCGCTGCTCCCCTCAGCAGTGTCCTTCGGTCCTTCTGCCTGCTCTGCTCCCCGCTCTGGCTCTGGTGAATTCTCTCGCCCTCCCGCGCTTCTGACTGTCCCCAGTGCTTGTATAAATAAATAAATAAATCTTAAAAAAAAAAAAAAAAGATGTATTTTATACCAGAGCTGGGGTACCGGTGAGAGGCGCGGGAGGTGAGAGGACGCCCCAGGGCCAGAGCGGGCAGCAGAGCCCGCAGGCTGACGAAACCCACTGCCGGGGGAGCAGCAGGGAGTCAGGCGGGGGCTGCCGCGCCGTGTGGGTCGCTCCCTGGCCGGCCGGGAATCGAACCCGCGCTGCGGGGGCTGCGGACGGCTTCACGGCGCTGCGCTCAACCCGCCGCCACCCGGGAGGCCCCAAGTTTACAATCTTTAAAGCTCTGTTGACGCGGAGGCCGCTGCGGGGCCCCACTTGTCCCTGGGAGGTTCAGGGGCTGCGCGCGGCAAAGGGCCTCGGCCTGTCATTTTCATCAGAGCGGGCCCCACGGGCTGTGTCCTCCGTGACCCGTCCCGCTCGGGGGGCAGAGGCGTCTCCCCGAGGCGGGCAGCGGGTCCGCGCGGGCGCTGCGGGGGCCCGGCCCAGGGCCCTAAGGACCGGGGTGCGCGCGGCCGCCGGGCCCTCCCCCACATCTGCCCGCTGCCGGGGCCCCGCCCCCCACGCCGCGTACCGCAGGCCGCCCCAGGAGCTTCGCGTGCGGCGCCAGGCAGGGGCGCCGACCTGCCCCCAGAACAAGGAGGGGCGCCCCGCGGGCTGGCGGGGTGCAGGGCCCCGAGGGCGGGGTCCCGACTCATTCACCCTCAAGCGGCCCGCGCGCCAAAGCCCGCGAGGCTGCGGTCCCGGCGGGGGGCGCGGGCGGGGGGCGCGGGCCGGGGGGCGCGGGCAGAGGGGGCGCGGGCAGAGGGGCGGGGACGGCCCCTCCCGGCCCCACAGCGCGGGCCGCGAGGGGCGGGGGGCGCGGCGCCGACGCCCCGGTTTCGCATCGCGCGTCGGCGCGGCGCAGCCAATGGGGAGACGCGCTTGACGCTGCTCGGCCCAAAAGCGCGCGGGCCTTAAATAGGGAGCCGCGCCGCGCCGAGCGCCTTCGCCTCCCGCCGCCCGCCGCCTCTCCTCAGCCGCCGCCGCCATGTCGTCCGCGGCCGCCGCGCTGACGCGCACGCCCCTCGCGCCCCGGCCCGGCGCCCGCAGCCGAAGGGCTCGCCGCGGAAGGGGCTCGGCCCGGCCGACAAGGAGAACACGGTGAGGCCCGCGCCGGGGCCGGGGGGCGCCCGGGGTCCTGGCGGCGGCCCGGCCCCTCACGCCCGTCTCCCCGCAGCCCCCGGCCGTCGGCGCGACCCGCATCCTCGCCAGCAAGACCGCGAGGAGGATCTTCCCGGAGCCCGCGGAGCAGGTGGGAGCCGGCGGGGCGCTGGGCCCGGCGTCGGGCTGCCCGCCCCGCCCCCGCGCTTTCCCGCCACCGCGCGGCCCCCGCCCCGGCCCCCCCCGCGCGCGCCCTTTGTGCAGCCCTGGGTGTCGCCGCGGCGCTCACGGAGACCGAGGGGGCGGGACGGGCAGAGCGGCCGACCTTCTCCGCCGAGGGGCGCCGCGCCGCCGGGTCGCCCCCGGCCGGGGCTCGGAGCGTGGACAGGCCGCCGAGCAAGCCCTCGGGGCCCGGGCGGCCGGGCCGGACCCTCAGCCCAGCCTCCCGCAGCCTCCTGCCGCCCGCGGCACCCGCGGGAATGAAGGCCCCGCCGGCCATTCTCGGGGTTTTGAGGCGTCCCCGCGCGCGCGCAGCCCCCTCCCGGCCGGTCCCCGGCGCCCCCGCCGGTCCCCGGCGCCCCCCGGCGCTCAGCCGCCGCGCTCTTCCCCTCCCCGCCGGCAGCAGACCAAGCGCCGGCGCCCAGCCGCGAGACGGAGCCGCTCCTGAAGGAAAACCCGCGCAGGTTCGTCGTCTTCCCCATCCAGTACCACGACATCTGGCAGATGTACAAGAAGGCGGAGGCCTCCTTCTGGACGGCCGAGGAGGTAACCCGCGCGCCCGGCGCCCCCAGCCCCGCGGGGCTGTGACCCTGACGTCGGAAATGCGTTGTTGTCTCCCCCTTTCATTCTCCTGGGGGTGTGGGGATGTCCTGCCTGCCTGACTCCCCTGTGAATGTCTGACCCCAGGTGGACCTTTCCAAGGACATTCAGCACTGGGAAACGCTGAAGCCCAGCGAGAGGCATTTTATATCCCACGTGCTGGCGTTCTTTGCAGCCAGTGATGGCATTGTCAATGAAAACTTGGTAGGTACCCCCCAAAAATTCTGCTTCCATTCATTTCAGGATTCTGTTTTTATAGTGGGTCTTTGTAATGGATTAGGAAAGGAAGCATCAGTAATCACATGTTCGCAGAAAGTCTATGAAATAGGGGGCCGCGGTGTCCTGACCTGTAAGCTGGTGCATGAGAGGACATGTCCAGCTTTACCCCAGAGCAGTGCCGACTTGAACCTGAGGAAAGGCCAAAAGGAGTGAAGCAATAGTAACCACCAGCAGCTGCTGTGGTGATTTTTTTTTTTTTTTTTTTTTTTAGGATTTATTTATGCATACAAGAACCAGGAGACAGGCCAGAGGTGGGGGCAGGGGGCAGTGAGAGGATTCACCAGAGACAGAGTGGGGAGCGGAACAAGCAGATCTATTGAAATCCACTGCTGAGGGGAGTAGCAGGGAACCAGGAGAGGACTGCTGCTCCTTGTGGGTAGCTCCCTAGCTGGCCAGGGGTCGAACTGCTGCAGAGGCTGTGGGTAGCTTCATAGTGCTATGCTTGACCCCTTGCACCACCAGGGAGGCCCTGCTGTGGTGATTTTACTCAGGTTGAACTTTGTTTTTTCCATTAGGTGGAGCGCTTTAGCCAAGAAGTTCAGATTACTGAAGCCCGCTGTTTCTATGGCTTCCAGATTGCCATGGAAAACATACATTCTGAAATGTACAGTCTCCTCATTGACACTTACATTAAAGATTCCGAACAAAGGTGAGTGTTGGGTGTGCCAGCGTGTTTAGGACTCCCGAGCTGTCACTTTATTTCTAGTTTGGAATACATACAGGCTTTCCAGGGCCATGTCTGCCTGGAGGAAGAGGCCCAATTCATCCTGGCCACTCACCTGGAAACAGTGGTGAGGGTCTGCCATTTCTGAGAGGTGAAGTGTATATGGTTGACTATCCAGTAAAGCCTTTTGAATAAATGTCTCTGGAGGCTGTGCATGAGAAATTCAAACCTTGGACTGACTATTACTCCTGAGGCCGGGGCAGGGCAGAGAGTGCACCCAGGGTGTAACCTGCCTCAAGGAGCTTGAGGCCTCGAGCCTGAGTGGGAGGAACTGCACTGTAGTGGCAGCTGAACGTGAGATTCATTGGCAGAGGGTGTTTGATGGAACTGACATTACTATTTAGTAGTAGAGGATGATAGAGGAGGAATAAAGGTCGCTTAGGGCTTGTTTTACATTATAAAGGTTGACTGGACAGGATGGGAAAGTGACAAGTCCCTGCTACTTTCATGAACCACATAAGATTCTTAGGTCTGGGACAAGCCCCAATACAGCGGCCCCCGCGTAGAGCCTAGGCGTGGATCCTGGAGGCTTGTGTAGATAACTGACCTCGGCTCAAGGACAAATCTCCCAGTGACTCTGTACCTCTCAAGTTTTTCCCCTTAGTTAATGGGGCAGGACTGTATCTAGATTTGTGTCAAGGTTAAGATTTTGAAAAACACTGGCGGGAAAGCAAACCAGTAAAAAGCTTTTCCATTTGAGTCCCAGTTTGGCCTGGGTCCCAGAGCTCTTTAGACAGTCCTGAACGTAACTGCTGCGCCCTCTGCCTGCCAGGGAGCACCTCTTCAACGCCATTGAGACGATGCCATGTGTGAAGAAGAAGGCGGACTGGGCCTTGCGTTGGATTGGGGACAAGGAGGCCACCTACGGTGAGGAGACTTGGCTCTGCTTACACCCAAGCTTCATGTTCTAAATGATGCCGCTGGCTTGCCGGCTCTTGTCGGAATATGGAGTTACCGGAGATATTTTGGTGTCTGTTAACTAGGAGAACGGGTTGTGGCCTTCGCGGCAGTGGAAGGAATCTTCTTCTCTGGTTCTTTTGCGGCGATTTTCTGGCTCAAGAAACGAGGGTTGATGCCTGGCCTCACATTTTCCAATGAACTTATTAGCAGAGATGAGGTGAGTCGCTCAAAGAACAGGTTACTCTGCACCCCGAACACCCTACACGCTTGTATTCACTGGAAGAAACCCGAGATACTGGGTCTCCGTGTGAATTCCATATGTGGCAGAGTGAAAATACTTGACATGGGTTGCTAGAATTACTTTATTCTCAGTGTTACACATCTGTACCTATGGATTGCCCTTAGTGGTCATGGGTGTTGTGCCTTTTTTTTTTTTTAAATTTATTTATGCATTCCAGAGCTGGGGTACAGGCCAGAGATGCGATGGGTGAAAGGATTCACTAGAGATGGAGTGAGGAGAATAGGCAGATCTACTGAAATCCACTGCTGAGGGGAGCATCAGGGAGACAGGAGAGGTCCACTGCGCCCTGTGGGTAGCTCCCTGGTCGAGGATCGAACTCATGCTACAGTGGCTGGCGATAGCTTTACAGTGCTGACGCTTAACCCCTCGTGCCACCAGGGAGGCCCCATGGGTGTTGTGCTTTGACTTGGTATTCTGTGTGATCTTCTGTACTTCAAAGGAGTTGTAGCACCTGGTGGAGTGCGAATCCATCTGTGTACGTCTTTAATGCACTCACATTATACCACACAAAGGAAGGTGAAGGTCCCTGGGGTGCCCTGATGTTTTAGCTTAAGTTACATTGAAAGGAAGAGAGCACGACTCCCTCCTTCCTCCCCGTTTGCAGCCCAGAGGGCAGATCAAGCGCAGTTGAGCTCCCCTCATTAGGAAGATGTTCTTTCTTGTACGGGGCCATCAGGACTGCTCTCAGCACTAAGCTACTTGAAATCGCACTACTGATTCCCTGGGCTTGAGGATGTAATCCTAAAAACTTCACTAGCCTAGTTACTGAATTTTGCTTTTCCTGCTGGGAACAGTGGCCAGTTCAGAGCTCCCTGCCTCATCCTTTGACACCACACAGCACAGGCCGGGCCTGCTGTGTGGACCAGGTGGCTGCATCGAAGGCCTTAGATGGCCCTGAGCCCGCCTGATGACCTGGCATGGCACGGTTGTGGCCGAGCCAGACAGACGGCAGAGTGCAGAAAAAGGCCATCCCCTCCCACCTCTAGGACCGGGGCCTTGCCGTTTCATTAGTGACCTTAAAACGTCTTTCTCCAGGGCTTACATTGTGACTTTGCCTGCCTGATGTTCAAACATCTGCTGCACAAGCCTTCGGAGCGTAGGGTGGAAGAAATAATTACCGACGCTGTGAGGATAGAGCAGGTGGGTGGCACGGGAGTCTCGTGCTGGCGGGGAGGGGGCAGAAGGGAACTTGGGCACGCAGTCTCACCCAGAGACCGTGCTCTGGCCCTAGGAGTTCCTCACCCAGGCCCTGCCCGTGAACCTCATTGGCATGAACTGCGATTTAATGAAGAAGTACATTGAGTTCGTGGCCGACAGACTGATGCTGGAGCTGGGCTTTAGCAAGGTAAAGTGTTGTTTGTGTCCCTCGGTTTCTTTTGAGACTGGTGTTCCGTATTTATATTTTCCTGTGAACCTTTTCAGATTTTCAGAGTAGAAAATCCATTTGACTTTATGGAGAATATTTCACTGGAAGGAAAAACCAACTTCTTCGAAAAGAGGGTAGGCGAGTATCAAAGGATGGGAGTGATGTCAAGTTCCACAGAGAACTCATTCACCCTTGATGCTGACTTCTGACGCCTAAAGAAACTGTACAGGGCCTTGCTTTTGGTGCAGCGGATTGAGCGCCGCATGGGAGATACCCACATGGTGCGGCAGAACTCTGTCTCGCCTGCTGTTCCCTTCAGCAGTCTATTTAAAACAAAAAATATAAAAATATTTTTAAAAAAAATAGGGCCTTCCCTCGTGGCACAGGCGGTTGAGCACCACGCTCTAAAGCTGTCCCCAAGCTCTGCAGCGCCGGTTTGCTCGATCCCGGCCAGCGGCGAGGGCCCCACATGGCGTGGCAGACCTCTTCTTTCACGCCCGCTGGTCCTCTCAATGTATTTCGTTACTCTGCCTGTTCTGTTCCCCATTGTGTCTCCAGTGAATCCTCTCACCCTCCCGCGGCTATGGCCTGTACCCTGTTCCTCTATGAATAAATCTTTTTTAAAAAAAATACGTAGTGATGTAAACCAACATTACCTCGGTAAAAATATTTAAAAAAGGAACCTCCCTGGTGGCACAGGGTATTAAGACACAACCTATGAAGCTGTCTGCAGTCACTGTAGCACAAGTTCAATCCCCAGCCAGGGAGCTACCCACATGGTGCAGCAGACCTTTCCTGACTTGCCCTCTGCTCCCCACACTCTGGTGAGTTTTCTCACCCCCCCTCCCCCGCCTTTACCCCAGCTCTTGCATGCATAAATAAATATTAAAAAAAAAACTACAGATATGTCCATTTTTCAAATTTATGTCATATGAAACGTGTTTTAAAAGATTGTTAACCTGAGGTAAGTCCAGATTATGTGGCCTTACACCACATAGCGCAAAACAGATATGGCCTTGGGCCTCCCCGGTGGCGCAGCAGTTGAGCGCTGGGTTGCGAAGCTGCCCGCGGCCTCTGCCCCGGCTGCTCCCCGGCCACTGGAGGAGGGTCCCACATGGCGCGCAGACCTCTCCTGCCGCCCGCTGCTCCCCTCAGCAGTGTACTTCGGTCCTTCTGCCTGCTCTGCTCCCCGCTCTGGCTCTGGTGAATTCTGACTGTACCCAGTGCATGTATAAATAAATAAATCTTTGGGGGGGGGCCAAAAAACAAATATGGCCTTGTTGCGTTGTGGCTGCAGGTGGGGGTTGGAAGCAGACTGGGACTCCTACCGACCCTGGCCTGTGAGATTTCACCTCTGCTCACTCAGCTTCCTAATCTGCTTGAAATGTGTTAGACCCTATGTATCTTTTTTTTTTTTTAATTTATGCATATAAGAACTGGTGTTTCTTAATCTTCCCTTAGAAGGACACTAGTCCCCTGGGGTTAGGCCCACCCACGGGACCTCAGTCAGAATCACCTACTTGAAATTCTGTCTTCAAATAAGTCATTTTGAAGTGAGGGAGGATGGATGTTCCGTCTATGGATTTGGGGGAGACTTCAACCCCTGAGCTGGTTAGCTATTCTGGAGATTAAACGCCACACACTTAGGACTAAGCCAGTTATATTCAAGAAATGCCAGCCTGGTCTCCCTGTGTGTGGCTAATTACGTGTCCGTGTGGTGGAAATAGCCCCACTGAGTGTCTCGCCCATTCCACCGTCAGTGATGCTGCTGGTGGCGCTGGATAAGCCCTGGTGGCTCTGGATGAGCCCGGGGGGGGGGGGGGGCAGGAAGTCCCTCCATGCTGAGAGTGTGCCAGCCGGGGTGCCCTCCCCAGAGAGTCGGTTAAACATTACCAGCATACCACTGCCGCGGGGCACTCACCTAGGACAGGTCAGCCTGGGCACTGAGCCGCATGGGGATGCCAGGCCTGGGGAGCTGGGGGAGATTTCACAGATGAGGGAGTATCCAGTGGCGTCTTGGTGCCAGGGAAGGAAGGGTGACATGGGTTTGTAAAGCCCCAGAGCAGGAGTAGTTGGGGGTGGAGGCAGGGGGCACTTGGTGGAGGAGGAAGAGTTGGGAAGGGAGGCGGGGCAGGACTGGGATGCCATGCCAGGACCTTCTACTTGATCTGGTGGTAACTGGAGGTGAAGGAGGACTTGGTGCCAGAGTGGGTGGGCCTGGAGCTGTGTGTAGGGTCCCTGCTGACAGGGGGGGCTTGTGGTTCGTGCCTGTGGGGTGTGTGGGTGCACACTAGGGACTCCGTCCACATCTGCTGCAGGTGAGTGGTTCTCTGGTGCTCATGGATGGCTGAATCACCTTCATTCTGAAAATATTTTTTTTTTAAGATTTATTGATTGATTGATTTATACATACATACATACAAGCACTGGGTGCAGTCAGAAGCGCGGGAGGGTGAGAGAATTCACCAGAGCCAGAGCGGGGAGCAGAGCAGGCAGAAGGACCGAAGGACACTGCTGAGGGGAGCAGTGGGCGGCAGGAGAGGTCTGCGAGCCATGTGGGACCCTCCTCCGGTGGCCGGGGAGCAGCCGGGGATTGAACCGGCTGCAGAGGCTGCGGGCAGCTTTGCAACCCAGCGCTCAACCGCTGCGCCACCGGGGAGGCCCTGAACATATTTTTTATTGATGTAACAGCTGGGGTACAGGCCAGAGGCTTGGGAGGGTGGAAGGATTCACCAGAGACAGAGTGGGGAGCAGGACAGGCTGACTGAAACACACTGCTGAGGGGAGCAGCGGGGAGTCAGGAGAGGTCTGCTGCGCCATGTGGGTAGCTCCCTGGCCTGGGATCAAACTCATGCTGTAGTGGCTGCAGATAAGTGTCATAGGTTGTGTCTTAACCCCTGCACCACCAGGGAGGCCCCCTTCTGAAAATCTTAACAGGACTCAGCCTTCCCTCTCCGGTTAGAGCTGAGACTGGAAATAGTCTGAAAGGGAAGGTCTGCAGGGGCACCCTAACCGGGTTTGTACAATAAGTGCTAATGGGAAGGTTAGGGAGCAATTCAGAGAACTGCCGACAGCACAAGGTACATAGAGCAGGCTGTGCAGCACGCTGTGGAGGAGGCAAAGGCCTGTGACTGCGTGGAGGGAGAACCTGCTGGCTGGCCTGGCCCCTGGAGAGCACTGCATTTAAGATCATAGCATCCAAGGCCACACCGAGGAGGGTGTGATCAGAGTGAGGAAGTGAGAGCAGGAGGAGTACGCCGCCCACCCCCCATATCCATGTTCTTGTGCTCTGCTGCAGGTGCCAGGAGATGGTGAAGAATAAAGCAGGTGAAGCCCAGGCCCTGGTGGGGAAATTGGAAAACCAACCCGCAGAGGACAGCGCTGGGTCAGGAGGTGACAGGGCTGAAGAAACAAGGGATGGGGGAGGGGAGCAGGGCAGGAGTGTCTTCCCTCTTTGGGGTGGGGCTGAAGAGCCAGAGCGGGAAGTGGACAACAGGTTGATGGGAGAAAGTAGAAGGGCCAGTTCTGGCAGCCACAGGGCCAGCGCAAAGCCCTGCAGGAGGAAATTCTTGCTTGTTTTCTGTGGCCAGAGAGAGGGGGGATGAGGCAGATGGGGGGGAGGGGTTGTGTGTGTGGTGAGTCTCTAGGGGCCTTGTCTGCCCAGGTAAGCTGACTTAGACCTGAGGCATCTGGGAGGGGGTGGGGTGGGGGCACCAAACGGGAGGGAGGAGCACGTGGGGCCGTGGTGTTGGGTCAGGGCGCGATGGCGTGGGAGAATGGGGGCCGCACCTGAGCGGAGACTCCGGATACTGTCCAGAAATCAGCAGTGACATAAGAAGAAAAGATACTTGATCTACTTAAAAATAGACCCCATTCTGAGGGGGTGCCCTTCCCGTGTGCCAGGTGTCAGTGGCATGGACCTGCGTCCGCAGGGGACGTGCTCAGACAGGGCCACCCATCCAGGTAAGAGGCGATGGCCGTGGGGAGGGAACAGCTTCTGCCTGCATATTTTTTTTTTCAGTTGTTATTTATTTGACGGAAGACTTTCGAGTTTAATAAAGGCATCGCAACCACTGCTGCAACATTAACTCAGAGTATTTTCACTGAGCACCAAATGGAATGATTCTCAGTCTCTTCACCAAGAACCTCTTTATTATTTGAAAGGTGAATCCATTGTTTAGGTTTTTAATCTGAAGCTGCCCCTCAAAACTTCCAGGTCGCTCTGACGAGCAGGTTAGCCAGCGCTGTAATGCGAATGAACAGTTTTCCAGCGTTTCCTTCAGCATGTGCGTTCTGACGGCAGGCCTCCCCGCCTCCAGATGACGTGGCTTGCACACACGCTCCCTCAGGAAGCCGGCGCCCTGGGAGTGTGGCAGAGTCGGAGGCCTCAGGGAACAGGATTTAGTCGGGTGGAGCTGTGCCTGCAAGGCTGGAGAAGACAGCCTTGGGTCAAGGGTCGAGGGGTGCCACCTGGTAAGAGCCTGAGTTACCAGAGAGAGGAGACCCTCGGGGAGAGGAGACCCTCAGGGGTGAAGGGCCTACATCCTGTCCATATTTCTCCACAGCAGCTCAACAGCGTCCTATTTGCCTCCATAGCCAACAAGAGGGTGAGAGGTCTCCCCCACGCTGAGGCTCCCCATGCTCTTTGTGACCAAGTCATCCCCCACCCCGAGGTCCCTGTCCCTTGGCATGAACAACCAACCATGGGCAAGAACCTTCCTTTGTGAAATTTGCCGACTGAAAAAAGCAAAACAAAAGCCACACAAGCCAGCCAGAGTCAGACACAGCCTGGCAGGTTTGAACCCCTCAAACTTCACTGTGCCCCAGCCTGCCCGCTACTTCAGCCTTACCACTGCTTGGGAGGCACAAGGGGCACGAGGGGACTTCAGGGAGTCTCCCAAGGCTCTGGCTATACCTGGCAGGGGCCTGCCGGCAGCTGTGATGAAGAAAGCAGAGCAGGGGCCCCGGGAGGACAGGACAGCTGGGCACAGGCTGCCTTCCACACACTGGCCAGGCCTCCAAACGTGGGGGAACTGGCAGGCAAGAATGGGGGGCTGGAGTCAGGGAAGAGGTGTGAGCCAGAGGTGCCCACATATCAGCCTGGGGTTTCTACTAAGGTGGCATTTGAAGGCAGGGGCTCCATGCCACCAATCCCAGGGAGTGGGTACAGAAGGCACCCTCGAGCCTGCCAGCAGGAGGTTGGAGGGGCCCATGGCACTGAGGGTCAAGGAGGTGGGGGCAGGGGCATGCCCTGGATGAGGGGAGGTGCCAGGTCTCTGGCTGAGAGCTGGTGGTAGGCTATGAGCAGCCACAGGCCTGGCTCCTGCTAACCTGGGCTGCGTGGCTTGCTCCTGCTGTTTGTGGGAGCCCCCTGAGGGTCAGTGGTACATATGTCCCCCCAAGGGGCATTCCTGCAGCACACAGCCCCTGCCCAGCTCCTCCATGCCCCACCAGCAACCTCGGATTTGCTCCACACCTCTTCCCCAAGGGGTCAGAAAGGACCCAGGAGGGGCTCGGTGCTGGGGGGCCCTGCAGTGTAGGGCTGACAACGGAGTCACCCAAACAGGGCCAGAGTGGATTCCCCAAGGGGTAGTGTGTCCATTGGGTCTGCCTGGTGGATCTGGATCAGAAACCCCCACCTGACCGGAGTATTCGCTAGAAACTTCTCAAACCCCACCTCACACCCACTGAGGAGATTAGGGGCGCCTGATAGCTGGAATCTTAATCCTGCTCCAGCACTTCCCAGCCTGGCAGTCAGCTCCAAACCTCAGTGGCAGTGGAGGCTGCCACCGCCCGTTCGGCCCTTGGTTTGGTTGGGGGGGTCTTCATGTTCTTGGAAAGCACCTCAATTTGGGGCTCAGTGGTTTGGCTTGGGAAGGGGTTGGAGGGAGAAGAAGGGGGGAGGGTCAGT